TCACAACCCAGTATAGCGTTTCTATAAACTGTTAGATGATCAAAACGTTTAAGGCCATAGACGTATCTAGTACTGCAGTTTACTACAGTTCTCAGTTTAGAAAGGGACTCGCAGTCAAGTTTACAGTACACCAACGCGGCATAAGTAATTATAGGCAATATTAGTTGTTTGACCAATAAGCCACGGACATGGAAAGGGGTATACTTAGCAGATAAATTCAAATATCTGAGGCAAATAAATGATTTCCTAACGACATGATTGATATGATCAGAGGCATGTAACTTTGAATTCAAATTAAATCCTACACATGTAACTGATGCACTTTATTTAATAATTGTGTTCGTACACTTATCGATAAAGGCTGAACCAAATGAGCAAGTCATAACATTAAATCCAAGCCTTTATCTGCTTTGACAGTTGAAGGCATGGAATGATGTTGTTATTGCTTCGTTTGGTTAGTTTCCTTTTCCGTTTTTGTTTTTTTGCTCTCTCTCGATCGTGTTTTTGTGGCCGCCGCACGTAGAAGCATCATTGAAGTTCAATTATACGAAAAATAGAAGTATTAAATAACAAATAGAAAATTGTAAATAAATTCTAAAATAAACATACATGTTTTTGTGGAAATTGTAAATAAATTCTAAAATAAACATACATTTTTTGGCGCCCAACGTGGGGCTCGAAGTTGACGGGTTGTCGTGTCATATTTTTGTGTGCAGTACCAGTTTCGTTGGCTGCAAAGTAAAATTTTTTCGTTGTTCGTTGGATTTGGTTTGTATTTTATCACATATATAAGATACAAATTTAATAAATTGACATTTAACCAGCTTCGAGTTTATTAATAACTACGTTCAAAGTTGTAGATATGGCTGAATTGAGTGCACTAGTCATCAAACGTAAGGTGATAAAGACCAATGTTACTAGGATAAAGAATTTGTTATCATGTGAGATGTCACATGCGGAATTAGAATGCAGGTTAAGCTTAATCGAAGCTTATTTCAAACAGTTGTTAGCAATACAATCGGATATTGAAGCGTTGAACGACAAAGATAACGCTCGTGCAGAAATAGAAGAACTTTGCATTTTAGCGAAAGCAAAGGCTATTGAACTTTTAGGTGACGACTTTAATCGAAGTCGTGGAGAGTTAGCGTTACACATTCCAAGCAGAAGCTCGAACAATTTACCAAAACTCAAATTGCCAAAATTTACAGGAAAATACGCAGAGTATCAAAACTTTATATCATCTTTCAAGCAATTAGTTAACGAAGACAAGTCACTCTCAAACATAGAAAAGTTTAACCACTTGATTCAATGTCTTGAAGGACAAGCACTTGATACCATTCGTTCTTTTCAGGTTACGACAGAAAATTACGAAAAGGCTCTGAACAGATTAAAAGAACGGTATGATAATAAAACTTTAATATTTATGGAACATATTATAGATCTATATAGTTTGCCAGACGTACACAAAGCGTCATCAATTACTTTGCGCAGTTTAGTTGATAGCGCATCAGCTATATTCAGTTCTCTCAAATCACTTGGAGACGACAAAGACATATGTGATGGAATGTTGATTCATTTACTATTGAACAAGTCCGATTCTGAAACGCAAAGACAATGGAAAGAAAAATTAGATTTATCAGTGTTACCTACGTGGATTGAATTTTCTCAACATTTGGAAAGAAGGTGTCAATTTTTAGAATCCGTTAGCCCGGATACAATAGAGAATACAAAACAAAAGCAAAAAGGTTACGTTACCCTCCAAAATAACCGTTCGTCGTTTCATACACGCATCCGAGATAAAAATTGTGTATCATGTAAGAGCGGGGACCATTGGCTAAGTGGTTGCAAACGATTTAATGAAATGGATGTGTCGCGAAGATTTGACACTGTTAAAAAATTGGGTATTTGTATAAACTGTTTATCAGAAGGACACATCGTGGCTAAATGTCCATCAAAACATTCCTGCAAAATATGCAACAAACTACATCACACACTTTTACATCGCTCAGATATCTGTAGACAAAACATGATGCCTTCAACATCCAATAGAGTTGAATCAGCATCAATCAATGCACATATTAAAACTGTAGCACACAAGGTAATTTTGGCAACAGCAATTATTCTGGTAAGGGACTCGGTGGGTGCATTTAAAGTAGGAAGAGCATTGTTAGATTCATGTTCACAGGTGAACTTAATGACTGAATCCTTCGTTAATATGCTGAACTTACAGAAGAAAAAGACATCAGTAGAAGTTGTCGGTGTTGGGTGTATGTCCTCGAAATTAAAGTACGAGACTCAAACGACAATTCGATCGCGATTTAATGATTCAGAATTTGATTTGAACTTTCTCATTTCAAATCGCCTGTCTGGGTATCAGCCTGACTCAGCATTAGATATTCGCTCTTGGCAATTACCGTCGAAAATCAATTTAGCTGACGAGCACTTTCATAATTCCCAATCCATTGACATGTTAATAGGAGCTGATTGCTTCTTCGAAATGTTACGCAGTGGGCAATTAAGGTTGGGCCGTAATTTACCAATGTTACAAGAAACAGTTTTAGGTTGGATAGTGTCAGGACGGTATAATTCTTCGAAACATGTTATCAATAAGTCATATCATATAACCAAAGTGGACACTGATATCGAATCAATCAATAAAAACTTAGAGTATCTGTGGTTATTACAAGACACAGCCAGTATACGTAAGAAGTGGAACGAAGAAGAGCAACTATGTGAAGATGCATTTGTAAAAACTACTACCACTTTACCAGATGGTAGAATTGAGGTTCAATTACCGTTTAAAGAATCGCCTTTATTACTCGGAGACTCGTACAATGTAGCATTAAAGCGTTTTCATTCGTTGGAAAGACGTTTATCCCACAATTGTGATTTAAAGTATCAATATACCAACTTTATGAAAGAGTATGAGCAGTTAAATCATATGACGGAAGTGCAAAACGTAAATTTGAAACAGCCTCATTATTTTATACCTCACCATTACGTACTCAAACCAAGTAGCACAACCACGAAATTACGAGTGGTGTTTGATGCATCATCAAGTACAACGAGTCAAAAATCATTAAACGATATTCTTCTGACAGGACCAACTATACAATCGGAATTATATTTGCATGTTATGCGTTTTCGATTGAAAAGATTCGCATTAAGTGGAGATATAACAAAAATGTACAGAATGATTCGAATACATCCTGACTGTCGTTCGTATCAGCAAATTTTATGGCGAGAGACTGAAGATAATCCGATTCGCGTGTTTCAGTTGAATACAGTAACCTACGGTTTATCCGCGTCACCTTTCTTGGCGATAAGGAGTCTTCAATATATCGCGGAAAAATGGGAAACCGAATATCCAGTGGGTTCACATGTGCTAAAAAACCATTTCTATGTGGACGATATGTTAACGGGAGCTGATGACTTCCATGAACTACAAATAACACAATACGAAGTTACGTCAATATTAAAAAAAGCTGGTATCGAAATTGCAAAAATACAGTCAAATCATCCATCGTTCATCACCAATAACAATGAATTAAAAGACTTAAATTTACATGAACCAGCAATTACAAGTACGCTTGGCATAAAATGGGATTCAAATCAGGACCAGTTTTTATTTTCATATAATCCGAGCAAGACATACACGTCGTTAACCAAACGTTCAATTTTGTCGATCTCGTCGTCTATCTTCGATCCGATGGGATTGATTGCTCCCATAATTATTAAGTCACGAGTGTTATTGCAAGATTTATGGATTATGAAGATAGACTGGGATACAGTAGTTCCGCAACAAATTGGAATTAAATTCGAAAATTTCATTAACGACCTAAATAATTTAAAATCGATTAAAATACCTCGATATGTATTACAAACAGATATCATCAACATGCAACTACATGGATTTTGTGATGCTTCAATTCGAGCATATGGATGCTGTTTTTATGTGCGGGTTTGTAATCAACAAGGACATATTTCAGTAAATTTATTAACGGCACGAAGTCGGGTGGCTCCGGTAAAGAAAAGAACTCTACCTCAATTAGAACTTTGTGGAGCGCTTATACTAGCTCAACTATATAGCAAAATTGCGCCGATATTTAGCAATATACATTTCCAAACATTTCTATGGACAGATTCGACTGTCGTATTACACTGGTTGCAACACCATTCCTCCACATTAACAACGTTCGTGGGAAATCGAATTTCTGAAGTACAAGAACTTACTGCAACTTGTTCTTGGAGACATGTTCCGACGTCAATGAACCCCGCTGACGTAATATCACGAGGATGTTCAACTAGCGAATTATTGAAATCCAACTGGTTATCAGGGCCAGCATTTCTAAATCGAGAGTATGAGGAATGGCCAGATTCATGTATAAGTAACACTCAATGCAAACGAGAAGTAGATGGTGCAATTCGGAAAATAGTTATGATATGTGAAACACCCACAAATCAAGTGCTACAATTCATAGATCGGACCAGCTCATATCTTAAAGTACTTCGTGTTATTGGTTGGTTACTTCGTGTGCGTAACCGAGTTAAACAAAGGGGTCCTGATCATCAACATAGTTTCACTAGTGATGAGTTACGACATTCTTTACATTGCATCATTTGGATCATTCAAAGCGAACATTTCTCTAATGAAATTCATTGTATAAACAACAACGTGGAAATTAAGACTTCGTTGAAAACTCTTAGTCCCTTTATTCAAGAGGTGGATGGATTTCCATTGCTTCGTGTTGGTGGACGCCTTATGCATGCGAGTATTTCAGAAGAAAGAAAACACCCTTTTTTATTACCAAGACATTGTCATTTCGTTGAGACTTTGGCTAGACATCATCATATTGAAAATTATCATGCCGGGTCTAAGGCGTTTAATTTCAATTTTACGACAACGATATTGGATCGTCAATGCCAGAGGATTAACTAGGAAGATCGTACATAATTGTATCAGCTGCATACGTTATAAACCAAAATTGTTAAGCCAGATAATGGGAGATTTGCCTGCTTCCCGTGTGACGCCAGGCAAACCATTTGAAAAATGCGGAATTGACTTCTGTGGGCCTATTTCTACTTATTTGAAAATTCGAGGAAAACAGCCCTATAAATGTTATATAGCAATTTTCGTGTGTTTCACAACTAAAGCCGTTCATATTGAAGCAGTAACAGATCTGTCATCAAATGCATTTATTGCAGCGCTAAAAAGATTCATTGGTCGCAAAGGACTACCTGCAGAAATTTATTGTGATAACGCTACGAATTTTGTAGGAGCCAATACAAAATTGGTTGAACTTAAACGAAGCTTTACTAGTGAAGCGTATAAAAATCATGTCATTAATTTCTGTTCAAATAAATCAATATCCTTTAACTTTATTCCACCTAGAGCACCACATTTTGGAGGTATCTGGGAGGCCGCCGTGAAGTCTGCAAAGGGGCACATGTATCGTACGCTGGTGAACAGCAAGTTAACATATGAAGAGCTCACTACCGTTCTCGTAGAAATCGAAGCAATCTTGAATTCCAGACCGATTTCACCTGTGTCGTGGGATGCGAATGACCTCGAAGCTTTGACACCAGGTCATTTTTTGATTGGGTGTCCCATGAACTGCATCAGTGAACCAAACATTAATCAAAATGTAGAAGTGTCATACCTCGAACGATGGCGGCGCATTAGTGCAGTGAAACAACAATTTTGGAGCAGGTGGTCAAACGAGTATCTCAACGAACTGATTCAGCGCAATCGATGGACTAAGGTTAGCAATAATTTACAGACTGGGACGCTTGTTTTGATTCATGAAGAAAACATGCCACCAATGGTATGGGTGACAGGTCGCGTAACAAAAACCATCCAGGGCAAGGATGGTAAGGTTCGTGTTGCCGATATCCAGACAAAAAAGGGGATCGTTCGTCGTCCAGTTCAAAAACTTGCTATTTTATGTGATCCTTGAAAGACTAATCTTTCAACGTCGGCGGAATGTTCGTACACTTATCGATAAAGGCTGAACCAAATGAGCAAGTCATAACATTAAATCCAAGCCTTTATCTGCTTTGACAGTTGAAGGCATGGAATGATGTTGTTATTGCTTCGTTTGGTTAGTTTCCTTTTCCGTTTTTTGTTTTTTGCTCTCTCTCGATCGTGTTTTTGTGGCCGCCGCACGTAGAAGCATCATTGAAGTTCAATTATACGAAAAATAGAAGTATTAAATAACAAATAGAAAATTGTAAATAAATTCTAAAATAAACATACATGTTTTTGTGGCAATTGTAAATAAATTCTAAAATAAACATACAAATTGAGTTTCCATATAATAACGAATTCAATGTTGGAATTCACCAGACATGCATACCAAATTACTTTTTAAATGAGACTTGCAATAAATTGCCACCCCGCCTCCTCTCCTTTGCCTCCTATCATGGCGGTATAAAATATAATTGTTCATTGAAAGATATAAGCTACTGATGTCGCTATTAAACCAAATTTCCGACACGCATATGATATCAATAACGGAGTTTACAAAAACAGTCTTAATGTAGTCAAATTTCAGATGAGTTAGGCTTCTAGCATTAAAATGCACCATATTTAGACCGCAATTTTGTTTACTAAATATATTTATCAAGGTTTTGTGGTCCATCAAAGTTGATAATCAGTCATTTCAACTTCCAGCCTAAGTTTTCTTTGTAAGGTTTTATAGATTAGATCCCTGGAATCATGGTCTATGTCGATATCATTCAGATTTAGATTTTTCTTGGCTTTGATACAGTTTACACATCTGTTAAAGCTGTTTTTACATTCTTTGTATATGTGGCCAACTTCACCGCATTTTGCACATACATGCTCACTTTCCTTACAAACAGTCGGTTTATGGTTAAAACCCCAGCACTTGTAGCATCGCATTACATTCAAGTTTTCGTACACTATGCATCGTTCCCAGCCAATATTAAGTCTACGAACACTCATAACTTGCTTAAAAGCTATGCCATCTAATTCAAGTAACGCGTTAAAGATGTTTTTATTTTTGAACGACTCATATATTTTCAAGACTTTTATATATTTAATCTCCATATTGTTTTGATTTCTTATTGCTTGGAGAAATTTATCATTTTCCAAACGCTCGCTCATGCCGGTAATAAGGATGTTAGGGATTTCGCATAGCAGGTGTCTCAATTTCATAGTTCATAGTTTCATAATTCTGATAAAAAAGAATAATATATAAGAAGTATAAAACTATAGATATCAAAAAATATATTAAAACAAAAATTTAGAAAAATATTGAAATAAAAAAATAAAAATATATAAAAGTATTAAAATGAAAAAATCGTGAAATATCGTTGCGGAAAAAGAAATCTAATTCGGTTTCCTCTTGTCAGGAATCGGAGAGATTTGTTTTTCCGCAATCCATTTCCGTTTTTCTATCGGTTTGAGTAGAGGAATGTGAATAGTTGGAATTTCATTTGCAGCCTCTTACTGCACCTTGTGACTCTTGCCGCCTTTAGTTTGAGGTGTATTTGTGTGTTCACATCTTTAGGCTTCCGAGAGATTAACATCGCAATTCTTTTCAGATCTTTTTCTTGAAATCTTCTTCTTGGTCCTACCAGTTACAATTTTTTTGTCCTTTTGACAAAACGGCGAAGGAGTGGTTACAGTGGTGTGCTTTTCTCCGCGGGCTAATTTCTCCGACTTTTTAACAATCACCTGCAGTCGCTCATACAAACCTTCCTACCCGACACGTTTCGTGATTTAACAAGATTTGTTAAAAATTCGGCACATAGGTGCCTCTGTATTTTGGGGTTTTTGATAATTTTTCATTTTCTTTGTAAATAATGCTTTCTTACAATGAGGGCTTTGGTGACTGCTCTTGTCATAATTATACTGCGAACCTTTTCTTTGAATTGTATTCTACCTTTCCGTGTTTTAGGCTTTACATTACGGCACTTCTTGTCGGAATGCTTCGATCTATTTCGTTCAGATTTACCCATTTTTAAGATTTGTTTTTCGATGTTTTTTTTAGCTTTTCCAGAAAGCAATATTTGAAACCAATCATTTATTTAAAAATATTTACAGCTTTAATATAGTTTTAAATTGAACTTGTAACTTATATAAATAATCAAATCTAATATAGTTTACTTTTTTTTAAATACATATACATTCATTTATTGTATCTTCTCTAATTAAATATGATGAAGATTTCGAATTTTATACATAAATAATTTTTATTATATCATCGAATATTAAACGACTTTCAATCATGTTGAATTTTTAATAAACTAGTGAATGAAGTTATACGCAAATTCTTATTTCTTTCTTGTTGATTAAGTTTTGTTGTAATCCTTCTTAAGTATTAATAATATCGTTAAAGAAATTAAATAGGTCTACTACAGTTTGTGAAGGTTTTCAAATCCTACCAATAGTAAGGTATGAATATAAAATTTGTATATTGAACTGATGCTATAGAATTTATTTCCCCATAATTTGAGGTAAGAGTACTCCATATACGCTACGACCACGAAAGGTGTGAAATTTATTTTGGAGAAGATGTGGTCACAAAAATAACGCTCAGTAAACTCCAATGGATTTGTTATCTAGTTCGAATAAGTGAAAAGAAGAATGCGACTACGAATGACAACAATTTTTAAAATAAGAGCTTCGCTCAGAATAGCGGCTAAGCATGTACAATCATGAATGCAGGGAACTGCTTATTCACAAATAAATTTTTTTTAGTTCTTACAAAGGATTTTTAATTTTTATATTTAATTTTTTTGGTTATCCATAAATGCTTTTCGCTGTTCTAGTCCTAGGTTCTTTTGTTGATTTCTCGTTTTGACTTGCAACCTAAATACCAAAATTTGTTTTGGATTTAATAGTCCATATAGCTTGGCATATTTCCTTAAATTATATATCAGTTTGCCTTATTATTATTAATTCAAACTCCTAAGTCTTAATGCCTCCTTAAATATTTTTGCAACTGTCATATTTCATACACAATTCTATTTTGATAAAGTTTGCAAACCATTATCCTGAGTCGATATTGACACAAATATTATTGGTTTCAATATCATAATATTGCAATGGAGCAATTTATTACAATTACAAAATTTTTAATTATATCATCCGTTAGATGGCAAAGATATTTCTATTGTTTATCACAGATACAAAAACGGGAAAAAGCAAAATAATTTGAATTGAATTAATCTACGAATGAAAAGCGGAAAATAGCATTTGTAAAATGAAAGCATTACAATTTGAAACAAGTTTACTATAAATATATTATATTTTAATTTCGTTTTTATTTCATTTTTGCAGATACATTTCAATGCAAATATACAGCAGCAGGTAAAGACAGCGCTGCAGCAGTCAGTCATATCCGACAGGTACAGTATCTGTGTACTTCTTGCTTATGTTAGCAATGCTAGATTCTTTCTCATTTGTGACAGCATTCCAAATAAAATATAAAAACATTTTTCTATATCACCGCCACTTCCGCGGCCAGTTCCACTGCCACTTTTACCGCTACAACCAACACAATAACACCTGTTGATTTCACATCAAATATTTTAACGTGAATCTACAACATTCACGTCAGTTGTAACGAATGATTGTGACGGATGTGCAACTATGGCTTGCATAAAAAGGCAAAGATAGTATATCATTTGCTCTGGCAAATGCTAGGCAATCAACAGTTAAGCTGAAATCTTTTTAGCAGAACAATTGGGATTTGTTATAAAAAGTATTTTGCTTTATAATATCTCAAAGATTTTTTCTTCGTTTTAAATTTTAGTTATATTTTCTTGCATATTTATTAATTTATTTATTGTCGTAAGTGTTTTAATCAAAAGCCGCTCTTTATGGAATTTACGACTGCATTCTGGTATTTTGCATATTTCTCGTTAATCATACGCACTGTGTGCTCGTAGTGCAACACAGACATATACTTTTAAGTTTATTGCCATTCTTTTGATGTTAAGTTTGTTACTTGATATTTGGCTTGGCCCTTTATATATCGAACAACTCGTATGCTTGCTATTTTTGAAGATATGACTGTGAAATTGTTCTTCCTGATTATGTGGGTGTGAGTATGTGTGGATAAAAACTCACTAATAAAATGAATTGAACATAACAATTTTACAAAAAAACATCAACAACAAAAATTGCAAATGTGCAAATTTAATTCATATCTGCTTTACTAAAGGGGATTGCACTTTCACCAGATGTAACTATGTAACTACTAGTTTCATCTTGTTTGTTATATTCTTCTCTTTTCTGCGTTTGCATACATTAGCTTTTGTGCAACAAGTGAAACGCGAAGAAAAGTTTTTTTTGAAATTGCAGATAAAAAATGAAAATATGAAACTTATTTAATTTATTGTAAATAGTGAAATTGAAATAAAAAGCATCGTTTGAAAAATTTTAAGAATCAGAAATAATGAGTTTGTAAAAAACAATATCATATAAGTTACCTTACATTTTATGCTTAATGTAATATTTGCACATTTATTTTAAGAAATATGTCATGTTAATTGCAAACAAAGTCAAAAAAAGTTAAAAAAAGATATTCATTTTTTCATAAAGTCTTCTCAATTGAACCTGTTATCATAACGTAAATACCCGTAGTCGGCTTTTGGCTTTTCCAGATTTGAACATTAAGTTAGTGCTGTATCAACTTGATAACATTGCTGAAGACGCAGTCTACATTTACCGTTTCTTTGTTCAACCACCCAGCCAGCGCAGTCGCTGAATTTTAATTCACAAAATTATTTCAATGTCGTGATAAAGTTATCATAACTTGCGATTTATTCGGATACGATAGTCGTCGGCAACTCGTAGAGGATCAAAGATTTTCCGAAAAAAATTTTCTCGCGAAAACTACCTGTGCTGCTTCATTATTTTATGAAAGCGTTCATGGTTTTACGAATTTACTCTTGAGTTTAACTATATTTCAATTTTTCATAA